TTTCTTACAGGCCTCGTACATGCAATAAAAATACAGACTTACTCCGAATAATGTAAAAGTGAAACAATAAACGGAACAGAAACGATAAATGATTAGTTGTGAGAAAAGCGACCTATATATTATAGTTTTTGTTCGTTTTAAAACATTCAGTCCAATGAATCGAAACGAAATATATGTCGCTTAGGGACGGAAACGACAGTTCAGTTGTTAGATACCAGTTAGTCATACCAGGTATTCATAGTTGTTAAACAAGTGGTTATGTATTGAACATATCTATCTGCTGAGCTGAAAATGTTTCATAAACCCAGCCCCCCCCCCCATTGACTCTTCTGCAAGTCTGCGAGCTTATAAGATTAAAAATCGGATAGTCCATTGTGTAGTTTTGTGCTTAAAAAAAGCTAAAAAATGCAGCTTTGCATTTTCAAAATAAACCCAAGAAATCAGTGAAATGTTGCAAATAAAGCATTTGATTTGATGAGACAACATGTTCAACATGACATGTTCAACGAAATGCAGTTAGCCGACATATTGAAAAATGTTAAGATATTATCAGTGAATGCATGTGTTCAATCAGTAAATAGTAGTAGTATGTTCACCATTTTTATTTTTTGTTTTTGAATTTCGCGCAAAGCTACACGAGAGCTATCTGCGCTAGCCGTTCCTAATTTAGCAGTGTAAGACTAGAGGGAAGGCAGCTAGTCATCACCACCCACCGCCAACTCTTGGACTACTCTTTTAGCCAACGAATAGTGGGATTGACCGTCACATTATAACGTCCCCACGGCTGAAAGGGCGAGCATGTTTGGTGTGACGGGGATTCGAACCCGCGACCCGCAGCCTGCGAGTCGAGCGCCCTAACCACCTGGCCATGCCGGGCCCACAAGGGTTATAAGCACATAAACATCCCTAATATTGAGCTGACAGAGTGGAGGGAAGATAGCTAGTCAACAGCACCAATCGCCAACTCTTGAGCTACTCCAAGCAAAAGTGGGATTTAACCGTCACTTTTACGATGTACCCACGGCCCCAAAGTGCAGAGCGCCATTTTGTTTTTTCGGCAACGTGACGTTAACCACGGATTCACAGACGAAATGGAAATATTGTTCAGCTTTAATTGAAGTAGATTATATAAATTGTTAGAATTCATTTATCTTGTAATACTTCAGGTGTCAAAAACGAAGAAAAAATGGTGTTTCGTACCAGAGGGATACAACGTCAGAAAATCTTACTGAAGCAAATTCATGAATATATTTGTACATCAGTAGAACAGGCAAATGTGACAGATATATATGAAAGCGTTGTTTTTCTTATAGCCACAGCCGAGTGACTTAAAAAAAAACAAGATTGTGAAAATAAAATCCTATATCCTATTTCTCTACTCGGTTTTAGAAACTACACCGTGAAAAGTTAGTAGATGTAATAAAACTCACTTGTCACCTAGGAACGTGGTATTTATGAATATCGACGCATCTAATTACTTTACCACAAGGATGCGCTAGAATCGGGTAAGTAAATGTTATTAAATAGTTATCTACGTGTGTCCCCAGGGGGTGCTAGAAGCAGAACGAATGAAAAATACTATATTATCTCCTCTTATTTAACAAAAATAAGAAGAAAGGAACGCGTTTTGCCACTCGTGTACACCAGGGTGAAATCGTAAAATAGTAATAATAAATAAGACATTTGATAAATAATTTACTAAATTATTGTGAAACGTAACGGAGATATACCAAAACGGAAACCAACAAAGCTTCTGATCAATAGCAAGGCCTTGCACTTTTCTGTAATAAATGTAATGTGGACACAATCCTAAGTCAGATTATCCTAAAAGAGTAGATAAAGGCGTTAATGAACAAAAGCCTAATGTGGCCTTTCTCTGTTTGAGGCGGTTCAGCAAAGTCAACTACAAATACGCACGTTTTCACACAGTGTCAGCAGCAAAGTTAACTACAAATACGCACGTTTTCACACAGTGTCAGCTGCAAAGTCAACTACAAATACGCACGTTTTCACACAGTGTCAGCAGTATACTTACGTTACTTCCATGACACACCCCATCAGGAACGTGACGTTGTCGCGCGTGATCTCACGCAGGTGCAGAGGTATAGTAGTGATAGTGAAAGTGTTGTATTCTGATCCTTTCTTCCAGATCGTTGTCTGGTCGCAAGAGAAGGAGGACCCTCTGGTAAAGGTGCTTTATACTGTTGCGATGTTTTGAATGGTTTACTGATCTCGTTGTCATGGAGGTCGCTACACGCTGAGTGCGTGGTTCACGTGTGTCTGTTGATGATGGCAGATTGGAAGGTGAGAGATCTTTATGTACTTCGGCTAGTTAATTACTAACAGGTGACCTTTTCTTAATTACTGGTATACAGAGCCATCGTAACGATAGGACAAGCTAATTGTTATTTGTTTAATATTTATATTCAGAGTTAGCTCTTTATTTTAGGAATTCAATGCATGTATATAAAATTAAACTCCCGTTGCTTTGTTTTTGAGAAGAAACAATTAGGGGAAATAATATTTTTCCTAGAATTTTAATCTTAGATACACTTCTTGGCTCTATACCAGAATTTGGTTGTGCCCGTAAGGAGTTGAAGACCACTCTGTCCAGTTACCCGGCTCCACGTGCAACAAGTCATAAAAGCAAGTAATTCGAATATTTCGTAATACCTACACAACATATCTTAACCAATCAGATTAAACGGTTAACTTTGAACAGTTATTTATCCATTCCTACTGCAAACACCGGACCCTGATTGTGGTTCAAAAACATCGGGCCCTGATTGTGGTTTAAAAACATCGGGCCCTGATTGTGGTTTAAAAACATCGGGCCCTGATTGTGGTTTAAAAACATCGGACCCTGATTGTGGTTCAAAAACATCGGACCCTGATTGTGGTTCAAACACAAAAAACACAGCGTGTGATGAAAGGTATTTTGTATATGTGTGTGATCAGTCTCAGGTAGGGATGGATGTGTCAAGGTTACACTACTGAATTTTCATCCATGTCAGCGGACTTACAACGCTAGAATCCGGGTTTCGATACCCGTGGTGGGCAGAGCACAGATAGCCTATTGGGTAGCTCTGCGCTTAACTACAAACAGACTGTTATCTTATTTGCTCCCCAGTGGCACAGCGGTATGTCTGCGGACTTACAACGCTAGAATCCGCGTTTCGATACCCGTGGTGGGCAGAGCACAGATAGCCCATTTAGTAGCTTTGCGCTTAACTACAAACAAACATCAGTTTTCTATTGACGTATTTTTTTTCCTCGATCTTCATATGTATTAAGTATTTGTAAAACACAAAGAAATCTGTTTCTAGTCGAGATTTTTGGAAAGCATGCTAGTGAGTCACATTCTGCTCTATAACTTTATAATATCATAATGTTCTAATCATTAAAAGTTTACAGGTATGTTAGATTGAGAACTGAGCGGCACATTTAACTGAGATATAATCGCTGACCCGTGTAACAAACAGCAAGTTTCTCGAGTTGTACGAGACAGAGAGAGAGCACCCGCCCTTTTAACAGAGAGTTACAAAAATCGTTCCAAGAACCGTTCCACTTCACTAGCTGTGATAGAAAAGAAAGCATGAAAAAAACAACAAAGTTTAGGTTATGGCTTATCTTTTTTGGAGAGTGCTAAATACATACATATAGGCGTGATACGATAATATACAGATTAATCAAAAATGTAACCATTCACTTGTGTTTCATAAGCAGTAGCTTTGAATCTCTGCAATAATGGCTGCTACAATTCCATCAGACTAATGGGGGCATATTACTGGATGCATAGAATATCATGACGCGGACCTGAAAGAAAACACATAGAAAAATAATTGTTAATAAATTTAGCTTCGTCTACAAGCTACTAATCTGGAAACATGGATAGAAGTTCTGCAGTTATACTTACACTATGTCTTTCACTTTCTTCACACTTACGGCTCGAGGACGTAAATCATGGTTTGCAAACTACAACTTTATTTTTAGGCTAACTAGTTGAACGTAGTGTGTGTGTGTGTGTGTGATGAGTTCTTGTTTTTCCTTACATCATTTGGAAAATAGGCGCCAGTGGCTGGAGACAATAATGATGAAAGCTATAGCAAGTTTTATTGCAAACAAAAAGTAAAAACTGGAGCACATACGTCTTGTCAAAACTAGGTTTGTTTTGTGTACAAGTCAGGTAACGCACTGGAAAGATACAGGTAAAATCTGTTTCACTATCCAGTTCATTAAACAACTAATAAAATACCGTTACATTGGATTTTCAAACGAACTCTTTATTGATATGAACAAAATGTGTGGTAATTTACTCAGATCAAAGTTAGTATTTAGTAGCGCCCGCAGTAGTAGTGACGTCACGAAAGCAGGGCAGAATCTCGGGTTTTTAATTTGGTCGTTGATGATGTCATCTCGGGGGGGGGGGGGGGGGCTGAGAGAAGGAGATCCAGGAAGCTTCGCACCTTCTTACATTGAAAATGAATAGTGTTCAATGTTTTATTTAATTGTCACTTTAATTAGAGCACTATCCGCAGTGCTCAAATCTCGAACGGGTGACATTAAACGTCCTACTCATTCTTATGCCTATTCGAAACACGTGCGCACGTGTTTGTTCTTTGACAGGAAATATGTTCGATAAATCGACAAGCATGAGAAATAGACACCGTCGGTATAATCAAAGAAGCTAATCCTTATAATCTTCGAAGCCCTCTCACGGTAATGAACGAAAATAAAATAAGAAAAACATGTTTTTGATAAGTATCGTCAAAGTCATTTCTCATCATCAAACCAGAAATTAACGTAGCTTATTCGAAAAATACATTTTTATGGAGGGTTTTGACAAGGAAAATGTAAAAAAAATATCATTGTAAAGTTGTCAGAAAAATAGCAGACAAGTAGAAGGCTATGAGATACACGCAGGTGGAAATAAAACATAGGTTATGATATTGGAGAAAGAACATCTACAACGCAAACTGGTGTATTTATGTGTTTTACACTAAAAAAAAGAAACCTATCATTCTATAGGTAATTGAAGAACTTGTAGCAATCCGCCACAATTTAATTCTTCGTATTGTTAGCCGACACTGGGCAACTTGTACATAATTGAATAAATACTGTTGTTTAAACTGTTGCCTAAAGTTCAGATATTTCGTTGTGTGGGGGGAGGGAGAGTTTATAATCCCAAGCACGGTAGCCGACGTCATAAATATCCTAGATTGGTCCCTGAAAATGTATACTGAATTAGTACAAACGCCTTTTTTTTTTAGGTTTAACGGAAAATATTGTCACGAAATCAGAGTTTCGTGTTTTTTAAAATTCGTGTATTATAAAATTTCACACAGACACAAACACGCGTGAATAATATCGGTAAACCACATTTAGTTGAAGTGAATTATCGTTAAACTTATTTTTTTTTTACACTTTGTAGTATTCGCAAAGCTATTTCTTGTTAAGTTTAATAATAAAAACGTCATATTGTTGACTTTTTTTTTAGAGACGCTGTCCCTGTGTCAGTGCTGTATTGTTTTCCATTTTCGGATACTTAGTGTTGGGTGAGTATGAATTGAAATGTTTATTTTTGAAAAAAAGGAGTTATTTGGTTTATGGTGTGTAGGGATATTGAAAACTAATTCATATCTTCGCCGCTAGGTTATTTATCAACACAATAACGAGAATATCTGCGAATAAAAAAAAAGTTCAAAGTCAACTTTTCAGTTATTTGGTTATGTTTCTATAAATAAAAGGATAAAACCACCTAGTTTTACATCAACGGTTATTTTCCAAAATGAAAGAGTGTTAAAAAACAACAAAAAACATTAGTGAACTGAGGATTTAATATTTGCTGATAACTGATTTTCTGTTTCGGACTACTTTTAATCTGTATGGCACGTGACCATTTTTATCCGAAGGTCGCGTGACTGGTAAGTTATTCGCTATATATATATATATATATATATATATTTAATTACTAAGAACAAACAACTATAAT